TCATCTTAGGAAACAGCCTCTTTCCCCAAAAGGCAGGGCTCAGCCTGGAGGCGACCATCTCCCCAAAGCCTGGCAGACCCCGAAGCCACATTTTCCCTGGCTTCTCTATGTCCACAGCCTTGCACATGCTCTGACCAAGTGCCTCCCACGCTACTGAGATGCTATACGCCGTCCCCTGGGCCACCTGTGAGCCCAGTGACAGGCACACAGTGGGTGCCTGATGCATACTGATGCAGCATCTGGGACCAGGTATTTATGTACCTTGGGTTCTGTCTGGCACGCAGCATCTGGGACCAGGTATTTATGTACCTTGGGTTCTGTCTGGCACACAATAGGTGCCGATGTAGCATCTGGGACCAGGTATTTATGTAGCATGGGTTCTGTCTGGCGCACAATAGGTGCCAATTGAATACTTACCAAATGAACATGTTAACTCAATGAACAATTAAATACTCACATAAATGAACTAAATGAACATGAACCTGTGGAGTTTTCTCATTTATTCAACTTCAGATTCTTTTTTTAGTTGTTTTTTTTTTTTATCCTCACCCGAGGACATTTTTGCATTTATCTTCAGATAGAGTAGGAGGGAGAGAGGGGGAAAGAGAGAGAGAGAAACATCGATGTGAGAGAGACACATTGACTGGTTGCCACCCACACGACCCCAACCTGGGCTGGGGACAAACTGCAACCGAGGTACGTGCCCTTAGCGGGAACCGACCCCGGGACACTCTGGTCTGCGGGCTGACGCTCTAACCACTGAGCCACACCGGCCAGGGCCAACTTCAGATTCTTTACCAACCAAACAACCTCCTCTGGAGGCAGCCAGAGGCACCAGGACATCTATCAGCTCGCTCTTCCTGAAGAAGTCTCTCCCTGGGTCTGCTGATCCACTCCGAGCAGAGGTGCCCTGTACCTCTCTCCCCTCCGAAAGAACCCAGCTTTCTGTTCCACTTCTTCCTCCTTCCTGACGTGATCCTTCATTTTAGTGGAGTCCCTGTCATTTCCTAAAAGCCACTTGAGAACAGGTGTGTGGAAGGGCCGTTGGTTGAGACCCTGACCTCGCGAAAATGTACTTGATTGATTAGCTCATCTCCACTGCCTTCTAGTACCTGACACGTCCCCAAACTATTGATTCCTCGGCCTTTATGACCTGGGGTTCTCACGTGGACGCTGACTGCACCTGCACTCGGTAGGTGCGGGCCTGTTTCTAGTCCTTGCACCGCACCCTTCGTGAGCATTTCAACCGGGAAACTCTGCATTTCAGGTCCACGAGATTTTCTTCAATTATCTCCTTGCTGATTACTTCCCCTAGGTTTTCTCTCTTCTCTCTCTCTCATTCTGATGTTGAAATCACTGAGCTGGTTCTCCAATGTTCTGTCTTTCTGGTCTATGTATAAGGGACGTCCTCAACTTACTCTTCAACACATTTTTCGGGTGTTTCATTTCTGCTTTCATATGGTTAATTCATAAGGGCACTGATGTTGGTTCTCTCGGTGTTAAAGAAATACGGTATTTCTTGTTTTACAATCGCAAAAACCCTTTTTCATCCCTCTGAAAACACCGATCATGGTTACTTTGTTTTTTCTCCTTGAAGAATCTCTGTTCATTCCAAGCTTTTCTTCTTTTTCCATTTGGTGGTTTGGATCTGTGTTCATGGCAGAAGACTTCCCTGGGTTCTGGTAACCTTTGGTTGTCCCTGACTGGTTGGGAGCTCATGGTGGATGGGTGGGGCTTGCTGACCCTGAGCTCCACGAGGTCACGGGGACACTGTGATGTCACAGTGTCTCTTCTCTTGGTTCACTCACATTTCCATGGAAATCCTGTTTCCTGCCCGGAGCACGAAGGCCTGGAGACACCAGTCCCTGGGCCCAGCTAGACTGGGGAGGGTGTGTTATCTCAGCATCTGGTATGCTTGCACCTACTTAGTTCTCGGCACAGCCGCTCAGCCCAAGCAGATTGGGTGTCCTGCAGCCAGACACTCTGTTTTCCTCTCTTCAGGGAACAAACCTTCAGCCTTCGGCTTGGAACAGAGGAGGGGGCAGCCGTCCAGTTATTCAGGATGGTAAGTGGACTGGGGGTTTTCAATACTTAAAAAGCTTTCAGGCTTCCGGTCGCAGTGACATCGGTAAATGCAGCCCTCGGGACCTCCCACAACCACATCACGGTTACAACTTAAGGACACCGCCTACACTCGAGCTGAGCGGAAGTCCCATAACTGAGGGTATAAAGACGAGGCCACGTGGAGCCTGGCTGGTGCTTGGAATGCGGATCCTGTGTGTTATCCACGCAGCTGGGAGAGCAGAACCAGGACGAGTGTGCGCGGATCGCAGATGGGAAAGCAGAACCAGAACGCGTGTGCGCGGATCCTGTGAGTCATCCACGCAGCTGGGAGAGCAGAACCGGGACGCGTGTGCGCGGATCCTGTGTGTCATCCACGCAGCTGGGAGAGCAGAACCGGGACGCGTGCGCGCGGATCCTGTGCGTCATCCACGCAGCTGGGAGAGCAGAACCGGGACGCGTGCGCGCGGATCCTGTGCGTCATCCACGCAGCTGGGAGAGCAGAACCGGGACGCGTGCGCGCGGATCCTGTGCGTCATCCACGCAGATGGCAGAGCAGAAGCGGGACGCGTGCGCGCGGATCCTGTGCGTCATCCACGCAGCTGGGAGAGCAGAACCGGGACGCGTGCGCGCGGATCCTGTGCGTCATCCACGCAGATGGCAGAGCAGAAGCGGGACGCGTGCGCGCGGATCCTGTGCGTCATCCACGCAGATGGGAGAGCAGAACCGGGACGCGTGCGCGCGGATCCTGTGCGTCATCCACGCAGATGGGAGAGCAGGACGGGACGCGTGTGCGCGGATCCTGTGCGTCATCCACGCAGGACGGGACGCGTGTGCTCCACGGGTGGGGACTGACTGCTCTGCTGTCTGCGGTGGGGGCGGAGGTGGCGCCCCTGGGCCGTGTCTGCTGCCGTCTATTCTGCTCATTAGCTCCCACAGATCAGGAGACCAGGGAGGCCAGAGGGAGGGGGGGCGGGGAGAGGAGACCAAAGCACTGATTGCACAGCCGATGGGCACAGGCAGCGGGGCGGGGGGGGCTCGGGGCGGGAGGAGGTGTCAGTGGGGGAAAGGGGGGACATCTGTAATACTTTCAACAATAGATACATTTTTTTTACAAAAAGATTTCTTATCACACGGCGGCTCTCCCCCGTCCCAAAGGAGCACGGCTCACACACACACTCCCCGCACCCACCTTCCGTCAGAGCCCAGGAGACAGGTGAGGACACCTGCAGGCACAGGGCGGGCACAGGGCGGGCACAGGGCAGGCTGCCAGGCGAGCCGAGCCTGGGCGGCAGGTTCACTGCCGCCGCCGCCGGGGCCACGGGCAGTGCCGCGGACGGCGGAGTCTCGGGGCCCACGGCCCACGGCCCACGGCCCACGGCCGCGAGCACCCAGGACAGGACCGCGCCCCTGCCGCACACAGTGGCGAGGAGGCAGCCCCGCGGACGGAGCCGCCCACAGACGGCGACGAGAAACCGGAGCAGCCGCGGGCGGGCCCACTCACGCGTGTTCACCCACGAAGGGCGGCGAGATCGCAAAGCGTGCGTCTGCGGAAACCGCGGAAGGACCCCACTAGGGCGCAAGGCGTCATTTACCCACGTGCACTTCACGTGACCCGAGACACCTTCGGCAGATGTGAGACTTGTTCAACATCATATATTCAGGGTTTACACATTAAAATAATTCTTTTCTTAAAAAAGCTTTCAAGCCATTCACCTCATTTTAGCCTTTTTTCACGGCCCCACCCCTCTCCTTAGATACTGGGTGTGGTCAATTTTGGGCCTTTCCAGAATTCTTTTTAAGTACTTAAAAAAAAAATGTTTTCATTGATTTTTTTGAGAGAGAGGAAGGGAAAGAGAGAAACATCGATGTGAGAGAGAAACATAGATCAGCTGCCTCCTGCACGCCCCCTACTGGGGATCAGCAGCAACCCGGGCACGTGCCCTGAGCGGAATCAAACCGGGACCTCTCAGTCCCTGGGACGATGCTCAACCCACTGAGCCACACTGTCCGGACTTGAGAGCTTTAGTCTCTCAGTTCTTGGTTCTGCCTGGTGACAGCTTCCAGTTCAGTTTCTGGTCCCTTAGTAATTTGCGACTCTGCATCTTCTCTGCAAACCCCCAATGTTTTGCTATCGACTTCTCTCTCCTTTTCCCCATCCTTGTGAATTTATCATTTTTCAAACATACCACTTTATTGGGGTTTTAGAAAGAAAGAAAGGTGTGCGTTAATCCACCGTCTCGACCTAGAAGTTCGAGTCCTCGCCTTTCCCAAGTCTTCCAAGTGGAGGTTCGAAGATGAGCCAGACAAGAGGAGGGACAAACAGAAGGAGCCCCTGGCTCCGCCCTCCTGTGTGGTCAGAGAGGAGACCAGCACTTCCCGAAGCCTCTCGCTGACCGCCTGTCCCGCGGTCACACTCGCTTTGCCCTGGTGTGGTTGGACCTGGCGGCACTGCACATAGGCAGGGAGAGCCAGGGCCTGAGGAGGCAGCAGAAACAGCTGAGCCAGAGCCCGGAGCCAGCCCTGCAGCTTCCCAGAGGAAGACATCCTCCCGGGTGCAGTGTGGACTCCCAAGTGTGGGGAGGAACAGAGCAGCACCCTCCACTCCCAGCCAACAGCACGTGGCCACTGTGACCAGAGACCGGAGGGACAGAACGCTCCAGCCTCCCAAAGACACTGGCATGAGAGGCAGAGGCCCAGCACTCAGGGCTCTGGGCAGGGGGGACAGGAGAGGTCCGCACACAGGCGGTGGGTGTCACCCCCAAGGCAGGTCACCAGCAAGCAGGCTGACCGTGGAGGCTGCACAGGAAGGAGCAAGGTGTGCCGTTTGTCATGGTCTCTGTCCACTGTCGCTTCTGAAGAACTTCAGTGAGAAGACCCCCGCCGCGGCCGCTCCCCCACGCCACCCGCCCCGCCCCCGCCCCGGCACAGCCGCTCACCTGTGGATGATGCGGTGGCTCTGCAGGTAGTCCAGCGCCAGGGCCAGCTCGCAGATGTACAGCTTCACCGCGCCCTCCGTGAAGTGGACGTCCTGCTGCAGGTGGTAGCGCAAGTCCCCGCCCAGCAGCAGGTCCACCACCATGAACATGTCCTCCTCGTCCTGGAAGGAGTACCTGGGAGCACAGAGGGACGGGGAATGTTAGGGACGGGGAGGACTCCAACGGCCTCGAGACCAGCGTCCCCGTTCTACAGATGCACAAACTGAGGCTCAGGGAGAGGCACTAACATGGCTAAGTCTCCGTGCACAAGCGACCCAGCCCTGGTGCGCAGGCCCCAGCAGGCAAATGGCATTTTAACCCCTACCTGGCTCCAACAGCTTATTATTTTCTTTTTTTCTTTTAATTCTCACCTGAGGATATTTTTCCTTTTATCATCAGAAGAGTGTGAGGGAGGGAGGGAGGGAGAGAGAGAAACATCGATGTGAGAGAGACACTTCTACTGGTTGCCTCCCACAGAACCCAACCAGGGCCAGGGACAAACTGCAACCGAGGTACATGCCCTTGACCGGAATCGAACCCGCGACTTATTGGTCTGTGGGCCGACGCTCTAACCACGGAGCCAACCGGCCAGGGCAAGGCTCCAACATCTTTCTTCGCTCTTATTAGATGCCTGCATTCAGTGTGTTCAGGACTGGCCGCCCCCCATCTCCAGAGATGAGTCCCCTCCTCAACTGTTCCTCCGTCCCCACACCCAGGCCACGCCCCACAGCCAGCTGGTTTCCGCAACACTCGGAGGCAGTGCCGCTCCAACAAGTCCGAGGCCAGGGACCAGGTCTCGGGGAACCTCAGCGTCTACTTCCTGCCTCCTGGAAACCGGCCAGAGCCCCGGCCCCAGGGAGAAGCCACCAAGGAAAGCAAAGGTGCTCTGGGCAGCAGCGTGATGAGCAGCAGGGACAGGCGGCACGCTGGCCACCTCGGGCATCATTGTCCCTCGGCAGCCCCCGCTGATGTCGGGGAGCAGCCCTGCCCAGAGGAGCCCAGCCAAGATAGTTGCGTTTTAAGCCATTTGTTAAGTTTCAGGGGTTTTTCCCCCAAAGCAACAGGAAACCGACATGGTACAGAATTAATTTTAAAAAGCATTTAGGCATTGTAAGGACTGAAGAGCCGATCAGAACAGTGTTCCACAACAATTAAGTAGAATCACAATGTCACACTGTGGTGCCACGTCCCGCAGAGAACCACGGAATGTGAAGGCGTCGTGAGATCTCATCGCCACGTCAGGATGTTGTCACAGAAGCTTACACCTGTGTCTCAACTCCTGGAATACTGGACCTGGGTCAGCCAGGACATTTTCCTCAGGAGACAGAAGAGGGAGCTGAGGCCCAGAGGGAGGAAGGAACTCAGTGGCCCCGTGACAGGGTGGGACAAAGACCCAGATCTCCAACCCTCCCCAGTGCTCTTACGAGGACACGCTGGGATGTGCTGTTTCTCTAATCTGGGCGTGGAGGGAACCTGATGCTCCATTCCCGACCACAGGAGGTGACAGCCATGTCCTTACAGGACGGGCACGAGAGAGGAAGTCAGCTCGCCAGCAGGTGGGGTGAGTGGGGAGGTCTTTGCAGATGAGGGGTGCACTGGGTCTGGTGCACACAGGGACTGTGACTCGGCCACAGGGACAGCATGACACGTCTGGTGCCGGGAGTCCAGGACTCTGCGGGGTCCTGGCACCTCCCAGTCCCCACTCCCAGCATCTTAGCCACTGACAAACAAAGGACCAGCTCCTTCCCTCTGGTCTCAGCCTCACGTCCGAGCTGGTGGAGGGGCTGCCAGCTCAGGCAGGGACGAGGGGTCCAGGGGCTTGCTGGGTGGTCCAGGGCCATCTGCAGGGTACCAGCTGGACTGTCCATCTGTTACGGGACAAGCAGAAGCTCAGCCTGGCATGTGGCAGCGGCCTTACTTGCTGCATTGAGGGGTGGCTGCATGCCAGCCCTGTACCCCCCGCCCCCCGCAAGGCAGGCTGCCAGGCTGGGCCCTGGCCTTCACCACACACTGTGGTTCCGGCTGGCCCGACCAGTCACCATCTCCGGGCCACGTGGACGGACGGAAACCAGACAGGGAAGTCCTGACACAGGAGCTGGAGCACGGGGCGGACGGAGGCCCTGACAGAGCTCCTCGGCCGCCTCCCACGCGGTCGGCCCTCCGCGCTGGCTAACGTTCTCTCCCCGCACACCCCAGAACGAATGCACCTCATTCCTTGACAACCCTTCTGTGGCTTTGTCGGGACTGTGCTGCATTTACAAATTAAAGAGAACTGACCTTCTCACAGTGCTGACCCTGTCCACGAACGAGAAGTATTTATTCTGGTCTTTGATGTCTGTCACCGAAGTTTTGTAATTTTCTATTGAAAGATGTGGCATGTGTCTTTATCCCGATATTTTCGTAGATTGTACTGCTATTGTGAATGTAATCCTTTTTCGATTGTTGTTAATCCTCCCCTGAGGATATTTTTTCCCTTTTTTGTGTTTTTAGACAGAGCGGACAGGGGGGAGGAGAGAGAAACATCAACGTGAGGGAAATACTCCGACTGGTTGCCTGCTGAATGAGCCCCAACTGGAGCTGGGGATTGAACCTGCAACCCAGCTCCGTGCCCTTGACTGGAAATCGAACCCGAGACCCTCTAACCACTGACCCACACCAGCCAGGGCGTGAACATAATCGTTTAAAGTAAGGTTGGCTAACTGGTCACTGCCGGGGTCAGAGGACCCTCCGGAACTGCGTGCATTTATCTTGACTCTGGAAACCAGCTCGAACTCCTTTCCCACGACGCTCTGCGTCTGCTCCCCCGTGAAGGTGATCATGTCCCCACGGAAAACCGCCAGGGCTACATGGTCCCGACCCCGCCTCCTACTGCTCCGTCTGCCTCATTCCCCACCCAGGGCCACCCAGGAGCGTGGGTTAGCAGAGGTGGCGGTGCGCGTCTTTACCGCGCTCCGAACTTCAGTCAAGTGTTTCGCCGTTAAAAACGCGTTTACTGTAGTCATTTGGTGAATTCATTCATCTCATTCATGCTTTCCACACTGCTGAGAGTGTTCATCACGAGTGGGTGCAGAGGTGGGTTTTGTAAAACATTAACCTCTCCGCATTTCTAGACTAACCCCTACTTGACATAGAAACACTCACCTATATGTATTTGTGTCGTGTACATATATATTTATATACGTATATTTTTTAATGGGACTCGGGTTGCCAATGCTTCACTTAGAAATCTTGCCTCTAGTGTTCCCTCCTTTCCCACCCACCACTGTCCTGTCGGCTGACTCAGCCTTGGCATCAAGGGGCAACGGCCTGGTAGGAGGAAGTGGTTTTGGTCTGTGGTCAAGAAGAGCTCCCCAGAGGCATCCCTAGCTTCTAGAAAGTCCATCTCATGTGCCCTCCATTCCCGCTTCTGAACCATTTGCATCCTGTCCCTCTCCTCACCCAGGTGCTCCTGGTGGAGCTGCCTGAGGAGCCAGCTCTGCCCTCTCGACGTGGCCGCCTGCGCGCCTCCTCTGGCCGAGGGTGCTCCCTGGGTCAGTGTGCTCGTGGAAGAAAACTCCCCTTCCAGGTCTGCCAGCCCAGACGCTGTGACCCAGAGGCTGGCTGGGTCCTGTCCCTAAATGGGGATAAGACCCATCTGCAGAGGGACACTGTCCAGAGCCCAGCGGGACTCAGGGGCACACCCAGTGCAGCCCTGTGGGGGGCGCTGCTGCAGCCTGGGCAGGAGCGGTCCCCCCTGAACTTCATCCTGACAGTGACCACAATGACTGCGCTTTTTGACTTCAGCTACTGCCACTTGGAACTGAAAGAGTCTGAACTGATACCTCTCTCCATTTGCTACTGGAGAGAAGGGTTGAGATGCTCATGATAGACGTTTGCAACATGAATAACCAGGGCGCTCTGCACCCCCAGCGCACAGCTACACGGGCGAGGGGCCCCTCAGCCAGCCCTCCATCCGCTCTCCGGGGGGGGCATTTTCAGGAGCGCGCCCTTGATGAATTCTAGAGAGGAAGTCCAAATGCAAACAGAACAATTTGAGCACTAGCTCGGGGGATGGCTTTTCCTTGCTGCAGACCCATTTTTTTTGCCCTGGGCCATGGACTCTGCATCCCAAAGAGACTCGGGGTTATTATCCGAGGACAGAGAAGGACCTCGCTCTCGCTCTCTGAAGTGTTGCTCTATTCCGCAGCTTTGTGCTGTCGTTCTGCCGCAATTATAATCAAGTTCTCGTGCTGCACGCTGTCAGGGAGACGGGAGTCACTGATGAGAAACCCAGGCTCTCTCGCAGGAGCTCGGGCCATGGGGCAGTCTGGGTGATGAGGCTCACCTTGCAGAGCAAAGAAGGGCGGGAGCTGGGAAGCCATCAATCCTGGCCTGGGCCTTAAATGAGACCAGCATGAAGAACCCACTGTCTATTTTCTTAAAAAAAAACAAAATATTAATTTACTAACTCGTTTCAAAAATGCTTAAAGCGACTTATGAAATGCATATAATGTAATAAAACTGAAAATAGGTAAGCCATAGATCAGGTCAAAAATCTCAAGAAAATGGAAGCAGGAGAGAAGAGCCCAGTCCGTGCCCACAGACTGCTTGACCGACAGAGCACAGGCGTGTCTCTGACCCGCCCGGCGGGCACAGCAAGCCAGCAGCGCGATCGGCCTCGGGTCGACGTGGGGAAAAAGGACCTGTTTGGTAAAGAAAAGGATGACACCTGCTACGGAAGCCGGCATTCTGTAAGGAGGTGAGAGGGATCCATCTAAAACAGCTGTAGAGAGAGGGAGACATTCCACCGCTATTTCAATTTGTGTTTGTAAGATGTTCCTCAGGAGAACTGAGCACATCGAAGGCTGATTCCGTAAGAGCAGTGCCACGGGGGACAGAAGGGACGTGGTCTGGGGTCATGCTCACTCATGGATGACATTCTTAGTGAAAGGACACGGAGAGAACACTGGGGAAGGTTCTCTGGAACGACGTCGCACCGGTGCTCATGCATACACCAGGGACGGCTAGGTAGGCTCCGCCCACACTCTGAGCCTGTGCTAGAAGCTGGGACTTAGTGGGAGAAGTCACATTAGATAGTTGACCTGAGTGTGGGGTCATCTTAGGGGGCTGCACTTGATGCCATGTGCCGTGACGAG